ATCCTGGAGGCAGAACGGATACGGAAAGAATCGTTAACACGACTGATCAACCTGACACTAAGGACCACATATTTTACATTTGACGGCAGGATCTACGAGCAAATATTTGGACTACCGATGGGTTCTCCACTCTCACCTCTTTTGGCAAATGTGTACATGGACAAGTTGGGCAAGTTCAACATTGAACCTAATCAAACCAAGCAGTACCACAACGTTTGTGGGTTGGCACACAAGACATCGACTTGGTATTAGGAATATAAACAGGATAGACGCGGCGGAGACTGGAGCTAGTTGGCTGACAGTTTTATCAGAGACGTGGTCCACGTAGCAAAGGCGTGACTATGAGACTTACTTAGAGGCTTTAGCCTCGATTCAGTCACCCAGGTGCAGGGGATGGGCAAATTATGCCTCGAATAGCACAGATGGGGGCAGGAGGGGTAAGAGGGAGACTGATAGGACAAAGGAAAGGACTACGTAACAATATGACAGACTCTGGTCAACATTCCCATTACAAGGATGAAGGGGGGTGAGAACTGTAGCGTTAGTATTGACATCTCTTCTATTTATTAACACAAGCAATTCACCCAAGCTATCTTTACCGTAGATACGTAGACCAAGATGGTGTGGCCTTCTGTTTGATCGCATTCTTCTTTACCTTTGTAGTGTTGGTTCGACCCTGTTCTCGCAACTTGGTCGTAGCGTCAATGAGACCGTGTAAAAGAGAAAATTGCTCAAAGGGATTACCTTCACTTGTCACTTTGATAAGTTGTAAGTCTGTGCTTACTATGGCGCCTCTCACTGACGATGCCAAGGAACCGTTTGGGAATGTACCAGTAAATGGTCCGAAGCTGGAAATCAACAATACTATAGCAGAGGCGACAGGACTAGCTACGTTCCACAAGGTTTGCCTGACGCTCGGACCAAGCCGAGAAAGCAAGGTCGAACCAACACTATCCTTGCCGTGTTGCCAATCAGCAAAGTACCCCACCATACATCGAACTAATGACTTGAGAACTAGGAGTGTCTCCTGAAAAACTCTAACTTTTAAATAAGCCATGTAATTATTAGCTAAAATATGAGCCAAACAAGATCCCACAGCTAAGCCCCGTATTTGTTCATACAACTTGCCATTGAAGGTAAAATATGTAGTATACATTGCCAAATTGACTAATCTAATG